TAATATGATTAGAGAGCCAATTCTAGAAACCCAAGAACCAATTCAGAAAACTCATCCTTAAATTCTCTTCCTGTAGAACCACTCTTGGTTCCCAAATCTGTGTTAATCAGGGGTCTTCAGAGAAACAGAACAAACAGAAAAGATATATAGATAGAAAGAGATTTATTATGAGGAATTGGCTTACATTCTTATGGAGGCATCTTGAGGAGGAGTTTGTGCCTGAATGGGTCCTCAATGCTGCATACTTGTAAACGACAGTTAGTTAAGAGGAAATTTATGAGAAAATATTTATGGCAGAGTCTCATGCCTAGAAGCAGTTATTAGCTTACACCACTCAAGGAGATTGCTTTAGCTCTCTAAGTGGTTTTCTCTACTTACTAGATGGCTTAGGTGGCTCTATAAGGGACTCAATTTTTGTTTTTTTTTCCTTGGCCACAGCGCTGAGGCTTGCTGAGGATCTTAGTTCCCTGACCAGGGATCAAACCCAGGCCCTGGAAGTGAAAGCGCAGAGTCCTAACCACTGGACCGCCAGGGAATTCTCATCAGCTTCTTTACATTATTTTCCATGGTCATGTTTTCATCTCTTAAGTGCATCATCGCCCTTGTGGAACAAAGGTGCTGCTTAAAGTATTGGGCCTCCTTGGTAGTGTCACCTGACACTTTGACGTCTCCTGAATCACACAAGCTTATATGGGTAATAAATTAAAATTTCTCTTTTATTCTGCAGTGCTGTGGAAGACAGCTATAAACAATTGAACAATCTTGTCAACTTCCCTCAGGACTGATCAATGACCTTGAGAAGATTGCAAGGGAAAGCAATTGCACGTATGCCCTCACATGCATAAATCCTGCCAGTGCAGGATAGGATCCTATTTTTATTTATAATTTTTATATTTTGTAAACATGGGCTTTTTGCAATTAATTTTTTTAAGTATTGCATTCAAATATTATTTATATTTTTTTGCTTTTTTCTTTTCCTGTTTTTCTTTTCATACAATTGATTTTATTTTTTTGTAATTAATTTTTTTAATTGAAGTAGAGTTGACTTACAAGGTTGTGCCAATCTCTGCTGAACAACAAAGTGACTCAGTTTTACACATAAATACATTCTTTTCTTTACATTCTTTTCCATGATGGTTTAACACAGGCTACTCAGTATAGTTCCCTGTGCTACACATTAGGACCTTGTTTATCCATTCTAAACGTAACAGTTTGCGTCTACCAAACCCAAACTCTCAGTCCATCCCTCCCCCACCCCCCTCCCCCTTGGCAACCACAAGTCTGTTCTCTATGTCTGTGAGCTTCTGTTTTGTAGATAGGTTCATTAGTGCCACAAGTATTATCTACCTTGATCACAGAATTTTTAGCACCTCCCTTAAACATTGCTCCCTGGAAATGAGAGCCTCACTTGCCTCACCCTAATCCTGGTACCAGTTATTAATTTAATAAGAAAAGGCTACCACTTCAAAAGATAAGTGAAGGGCTTCCCTGGTGGCGCAGTGGTTGGGAGTCCGCCTGCCGATGCAGTGGACGCGGGTTCGTGCCCCGGTCCGGGAAGATCCCACATGCCGCAGAGCGGCTGGGCCCGTGAGCCACGGCCGCTGAGGCTGCGCACGCGGAGCCTCTGCTCCGCAGCGGGAGAGGCCACAATAGTGAGAGGCCCGCGTACCGCAAAAAAAAAAAATAAGTGAAGAACATGAAAAAGCAATTTCAAAAAGAATATGTATGTATATAATAAACATTGGAAAAACAAGACGTGTAAATGCAATAGTACTCAAAAGTGTGCTTGTTCAGCTGTAGAGGTTGGTATAAATGATTAAATCTCTATCAAGGGAAGAAAAGAAAATCCTATCTAGTCCTTCCTAGATTAAGTGGGTGTATGCCTAAGTAAGCAGGAGGGGCCATCCCAGCTCATCATATAAAGCCAGTATCGCCAAGGCTGTTTATCTCTCTTTTGGTGGAACCAGGCTTCGGAGCTCCCTTCCAAGATGGCTGAAGACAATTCTCCATACAGTAAGTTCCTCACACATCAGATTGCAGTTGTGGTTTCCTTGGTTTGGGGCGGTGGGTTGGGCTGAAAGCATAATGGGCTTGTTAGAAGTTGTGGGAGTCCCATTTTTCAAACTTTTAAATAACTGTGCTAGGGTAAGGGAAAATCAGTTTCTTTCATGTAATATGAAAATATGCTGTTTTCTGTGCATCTGAGCATTGGGAATTTCAGAAAGATGCAGGCATGTAAGAACTAAACAATACAAATTATTGTTTAGGGGAGGGAGATGGGAGGAAAAAATAGATGGGAAGAAGAAAAAGGAGAGAAACACACTAAAAGAAACTAAGGGAGGCATCAAAAAGTCCTGAGACCAGAATGTCTTTGGAATCAAAGTAGCTTCCTGATTTCTCTCTCCAGACTGAACTTTTCTCCTGAACTTCCAGCTTTGTCTACATAACCGCTTACTCATCTGTAACAGGCATCTCAAACTCAACATGTCCCAAACTGAACTCCCGATGTTCAGACCCAAACTCTTCCTCCTACTGTTTTCCTTGCACAAGAAATGTCAATTGTTCATGCCAAAAACTTAGGAAACATCCTTGACCTTGTCTTCCTCTCATAACCTATATCTAATCAGGCTGAAAATTCTGTTGGCTTTAACGAAATATTTTAGGGATCTTCTGACTATTTCTTGGACTGTTTCCACCATCGTCACTGGATTATTTTTTTAGTAAATCTATTTATTTTATTTACCTTTTAATTTTATTTTAATTTTCGGCTGCATTGGGTCTTTGTTGCTGCACGCAGGCTTTCTCTAGTTGCAGCAAGTGGGGGCTACTCTTAGGTGCGTGTACAGGCTTCTCATTGTGGTGGCTTCTCTTGTTGCCGGAGCACAGGCTCTAGGCGCGCAGGCTTCAGTAGTTGTGGCTTGTGGGCTCTAGAGCTCAGGCTCAGTAGTTGTGGTGCAGGGGCTTAGTTGTTCCGTGGCATGTGGGATCTTCCCAGACCAGGGCTCGAACCCGTGTCCCCTGCACTGGCAGGCGGATTCTTAAACACTGCGCCATGAGGGAAGCCCTCGTCACTGGATTATTGCAAGAATTGATCTCTCTGCTTCCATTCTGGCCCTGATTTAATCTGTTCTCAACCCTATAGCCCGTGTGATCTTATCAAACTGTCAGATCAAGTCTTTTATCTACTCCAAACCCCTCGGTGACTTCCCAACATACTAAGAGTCAAAGGCACATGGTTGGAAGAGGTCCTATATAATCTGCCCTGCCTGGGAGGTCTAGGACCTCATCTGTTTCTGCTTCGTTTTCTCTTCTCCAGACTTAGCCTTCTTGCTCTTCCTATCTATCTTATTTCTCTATCATTTTTTCCTCATTACTTTGGTCTTATGCATAAAATTCTATCACGGGAATATACCATATTTTACTTATCCATTCTCCTAGCAATGGGCATTCAGTTGCTTCAGCTGTTACTACAAACAGCATTCTGAAAAATGTCATGCAGATGTAGGCATGAAATGGATTGCAGGGTTACAATTACTTACTATACATAATTTAAACAAGCATACCCTGATTGCCCTACAGATTATCTTAAATAAATTACATTCTACCCAGCTCTCAAGAAGGGTTCTGATCTCCCCACCTTACCCCCATCATTGCAAGCTGCTGACTTTTATCTGGTTTTCTACCTTTTTGAACTGAAGGTTTCAATTACGATATCATTAGTTCCAGCAATTTTTCCCATTATGCATTTTGGTATCTTATTTAGTATATAACTTTTCCTATCTCAGTGTAACATAGGTTTTCTTGTACATTATCTATTTTTAGCTTTCATATGTATTTAATTTTTTGGCATTTATTTTTATATGCTATATATTGTGTGACCCAACTTAATTTTTCTTCATATAGTAAGTCATTTTCTGTATCCAACACTACCCTTTCACATTGATTTTGGAGGCTATAGCTATCCCAATTCTAAGTGTGGACTTTAGTTACTAATAATGTATCAATATTGATCCATTAGTTGTGACAAATGTACAGTACTGATATAAGATGTTAATAATAGGGGAAGGGCTTCCCTGGTGGCGCAGTGGTTGAGAGTCCGCCTGCCGATGCAGGGGACACGGGTTCGTGCCCCGGTCCGGGAAGATCCCACATGCCGTGGAGCGGCTAGGCCCGTGAGCCATAGCCACTGAGCCTGCGCGTCCAGAGCCTGTGCTCCGCAACGGGAGAGGCCACAACAGTGAGAGGCCCGCATACCGCAAAATAATAATAATAATAATAATAATAATAATAATAGGGGAAACTGGGTGTGCAATATATGGGAACTCCCCATACTATGTTTTATTTGTTAAATGATATTCATTCATTTATTTATTTATTTAAATTAATTCATTCATTTATCATTTTACTTTTGGCTGCGTTGGGTCTTCGTTGCTCTGCGTGGGCTTTCTCTAGTTGCGGCGAGCAGGGGCTACTCTTCATTGTGGTGTGCAGGCTTCTCACTGCAGTGGCTTCTTTTGTTGTGGAGCACAGGCTCTAGGCGCGCAGGCTTCAGTAGTTGTGGCTCGTGGGCTCTAGAGCGCAGGCTCAGTAGTTGTGGCACATGGGCTTTGTTGCTCCGTGGCATGTGGGATCTTCCCGGACCAGGGATCTAACCTGTGTCCCCTGCATTGGCAGGCGGGTTCTTAACCACGGCGCCACCAGGGAAGCCCCTCGCCTGCATTTTCTTGACTCATATTGTTCTTGATCCATATGAACAGAACATATCAATTTTTCATGTTGTTTGAAAACAGAAGACCTTGACTTCCTAGTCATGGCATTCAGATCAGCTGAAGAAGTTCAAGAATCACCCTTGTGTTCTTAAGGGCTTTATAATTGAGAGTTCTTTCCTCCTGGGTTCTTATGGATTCAAAATGAAAAGAAGAAATGAGAGACAAGCTCGAACCTGAAGTTGGAATACATAAAATGGCCTATTTAATGCTTCTCTCCTAATCTTTCCACAGAGGCCGTGGCAACAAAGTGTAGACGCAGCCGCACCAAATTCACAGAAGAGCAATTGAAAATCCTCATTGATGCATTCAACAAAAAACCTTACCCGGGTTATGCCATCAAACAAAGACTTGCTTTGGAAGTCAATACTGAAGAGTCTAGGATCCAGGTAAGTTACAAGTTCTGTATCTCCAAGACGAGAAATAGAAAGGGAGGGGGGAACCATTCAGTGAGCACATATCATGTGCCAGTGTGACAAGGGCTTTTTTTAAAACAACATTTATTATTTATTAATTTGGTTGCACCAGGTCTTAGTTGTGGCACATGGGCTCCTTAGTTGCAGCAGGCAGGCTCCTTAATTGTGGCTCGCGGGCTCCTTAGTTGTGGAATGCGAACACTTAGTTGCAGTATGTGTGCAGGATCTAGTTCCCTGACCAGGGATTGAACCTGGGCCCCTTGCGTTGGGAGCACGGAGTCCTAACCACTGTGCTACCAGGGAAGTCCCGTGAAAAGGGCTTTGAGTAGCATGTCCTACTTGACACTCAGAATGAACTCCCAAGAATGTTGCTCTTAATCTCACTTCATGAATGTGGATACTGAGGGTGAAGGAGCTCCCAGGAGTGTGCAAGAAATATGTAGGTACACCTCCAGAAAAGAGGAAGTATGTGGTGTGGTGGCACATTTATTCCAGGGTGTAAATCCAAGTAAGTCATTATAAGCAATGTGGTCACAGATAGGCAAGTGTCTGATGACATGGTAAGATTCCAGAGGAATTGTGGGTGATGTGAGGGTTAACCTTCCCCTTTCAATGAAATACAATAGACCAGAGAGTAGTGGACTGGTGTGCCATTGCAGATTTAGGCTGGAGGGGGTTCTTAAATACATAATAATGGCAGCATTTATTTATTAACTTAAAAAATTATTAGAGTAGGTCATGTTGGAACCAGGTCATGAAGATGCTAAATGCCAAGCCTTGATCTAAGTCTTAGTCGAATGTGACAGGGATCAGTAATAGTAATCCTGAGCTTAGGGTTCATAAGAATCCTTCACAACCCCCTTTTTTTGGCCACGTCGAGGCATATGGGATCTTAGTTCCCCAACCAAGGATTGAACCCTTGCCCCCTGCAGTGGAAGCACAAAGTTCTAACCACTGGACTGCCAGGGAATTCCCAGAATCACTCCCTTTGGAGAAAGGCAGGAATGGGACTGAGATGACATAAATATGCTTAATTCTCTCATTTTCTTTTCCTCTTGTAGATATGGTTTCAGAATCGAAGAGCTAGGCACAGGTTCCTGAAAAGACCTGAGAAGAACTTAGACTTAAGACAAGACCGAGCTCACCCTGAAGAGAACATTCAAGGTGAATAGCCTGCTCCAGTCCTGCTACCCAGCAGAGCCTCTTGGGTACCCAAGTGCCTTTTTATAGTGAAGCCAACTACTGCTCTGAGTGGGAAAAGAATGTTTTCTCCTTCAGGGCCTCCTGTTCAGGGTCTTTGGTAGCAAAGGGCTCAACATGGCCCCTGGAAATTCTTCCCCACAAGGTCCAGGGACCTTCTGAGGCTCACATGATTTGCACCAGAGTCCAGCAACTCAGCCAAATATTGCCTCTCCTCTAGAACCTTCTGTCTTGAATAGGCTGGGACAAGGCCCTCCCAAGGAGAGGGAACATGTTCCAAGTTAGATGGTGGGACGTGTTTGGGTTCCTTGTTTGAACATGTAAACTGATCTCAAATGTTCCTCTGCCTTCCATCTTTCACCTCCTCCAGGTGTGAGAGACAGACGATGTCGTACCAGCTATACTTCTTCCCAATTACAAACTCTTATGAATGTGTTCATGGAAAACCCTTATCCTGGGATTGATTCCAGACAGCAACTTGCTGAAGATATTGGGGTTCCAGAGTCAAGAGTCCAGGTCAGTGATAAGGAATTTGATGTTGGTAGGAACATATATAGTGAGACATCTCGGAATGACTTCTCCAACAGGGATTAATTCTCATAGATATCATAAGCAGGACAGATGGGAAAATGGGATTTCTGGTTTGGATAGGTGCAGCTCTTCCAAAACAATCAATCATTTATCTGTAGAGTGGTATCAATATATGCCTTCTGGAGGGAGGTCAAAGTTCAGTGCTATTAGGTGACTTTTCTAAAGTCTGGTTTTGGGGCTCCTACAATAGACCTGTGTTTATTCTACTTGGAACCTCTGAAAACCAAAAGTAGTAGCTGTGAAACATGAGGGGTGTGTGTGTGTGAGGGGGGGCACAAGCAAGGGGTAGCAATTAATGACATCTTATGGAAAGAAAAATGTCTTCCTTGGGACATCCCTGGCGGTTCAGTGGTTAAATGCGCTTCCACTGCAGGGGGCGCAGGTTCGATCCCTGGTCGGGGAACTAAGATCCTTCAAGCCATGCGGTGCAGACAAAAAAAAAAAAAAAAATGTCTTCCTAGAAGATATTACTCTATCCTGCATCATGGAATAAAAATAGGTGTTTTAGGGAGGAAGAAAAGAAGTGGAAAGAGAATTCTAGGCAGAGGAGAGAGTTGCAATATAGGCATGGCACTTTAGGGAAAGACTAATACTTGTAATGAGGGGATCGTGGGGACTTTCAGGATACGAAACCCATCACTAGACCATAAAGGGACTTGGTACAAGATTCAGAATCTTGAGCTTTATCTTGAGACATGATAGGCTTTCCCAGACATCATATGGAATGTCAATGATTTGGGAATTCGGCCTAGAAGAAGCCACCTCTTCCTCCCCTTTGCCTTATGAGAAGAGCAATGGTGAGGCTCGCATGACATCTTTTCATTAAATCTCTTTGTTTTACCCACTTAGATTTGGTTTCAAAACAGAAGATCTAGACTCCGTATCCAGAAGAAAAGAGAACCCGAAGAAGGTTCCGCCCAAAGACAAAACCAGGGACAAGATCTCTGAGATGGGAGCGTTCAAGGTACCAGCCTGTGGTTCCCAATTTGGCTCACAAGCGGAGCGTCCTGAGTGCTCAGTCCTTCCACATGGTGTAGTCAACTCCAGCTTCCTCTCAGGAGGTGGACGACGTTTCCACACATGTGCCTCCAGAGAGTCAGGGGCTTCATTGGTCACAGCCCCTGAAGGCTTTTCCCAAGTCTGTGGTCCTGCCAAGGAATTCCACTGCCCACTTTTCAAGCTCTGAACTGGAACCCAGACAACCCATTAGTATGTGAACTTTGTTCACTGATGTTTTCCCAGTGCCTGGCACATAGTAGACAATCCGTAAACTTTTGTGGCAGGTATGACCGAGTGAACAGAGGAATGAATCCTCAGGCGTGTTCTGCCGGGGGCCGGCTAATGCATGGCTTTCCCAAGAGGTAGGAGGTTCCATATCTGACTGGAAAGGTGGGAAAGAGCTGACCTCCCTTTCTGTATGTATAAATTGGCTTCTTCGATTTTTCTTTCCCTTTCCTCTTTAGGTTTACAGAATGGCACTCCCTAGTGACTGTTTTATTTCCCTGGAGCCAGAACAAGGTGAACAGAGAGACAAATTCAGTGTATTTGATGTCATCAGCCTGGACTCCAGATCGGTTCTCTTCCTGGCAACATACCCTTCCAAACATACTTTCGCCTTCTTCTCCGTCTTCTGGAAATGGTAAACAGGACTTCAGGAATCAGAGGCAGATGATACAAAGTACCACACAGCCCTAGTGACTGAACCTAGATTTAGAGTTCAACAGATCTCGAGAACAATGCAAGTCAACTTATTAACACCATTTTTATGGTCATACAAATAAATGACCGATTCAAGTAAAAATCATCAAAACATATGTGGTACTGTGACTTTGATCAACTGTGCTGATGTACTGAAGCCTCCATAAAAACCCAGAAGGATGGGGTTCAGAGCTTCTGGGTTAGTGAACGCATGGCGGAGAGGAGAGCGATGTACTTGAAGAGGGCATGGAAGCTCGAGCCCCTTCTCACATACCTCGCCCTATGTATCCATCCGGCTGTTGACTCATATCCTTTAATATCTTTTGTAATAAATCTGTAATCTAGTGAGTTTCCTGAGTTCTGTGAGCCACTGTAGCAAATTAATCAGACCCAAGGAGGGGGGTTTGTGGGAAACTCTGATTTATAGCCTGGTGGTCAGAAGTACAGGTAATAACCTGAACTTGAGATTGGCGTCTGAAGTCAGAGGAGTTGTAACGGAGCAGGAGCTTATGGTGATTTCCCAGGACAGATCCCCCCACCCCCATATCCTCTGCCTGCTTTTTGTCTGTAGAAAAACTTAAGCTGAAGAATAAATTTAATCAGAGAAATGAGAAAAATGCAGAAATGAAGGAAAACAGTCCAACAAGATGAAATAATAGTTCAGCTATTAAACAAAGTCAAGGATCTTTAGTTCCTTCTCAAGGCTATAGATCATATTCTGAGCCATATCCTTTAAGCTGTTTTGTAGATACTGAAACCCCACCAGAAGCAAGACGTTAACTACATGATGACCAGACTGCAGCCACAACATAAGCTTCTCCATCTTACACAATTCTGAGAACTCACCTCAAGGAAGTGGGAACAAACTGACCCCGGAATTGAAGATTAACTGCACTTAAAACAATCAAGATGATGCTGACCAGACCACCACGTGAACAGTTTCAAGATGATTGTCAGAGATGACTGCTAGGCTTCACGCAGCCACCCCCCCAGGCCTGTGCATTCCTGAGATTCCCCTTTAAAATCCCTTGCCCTTGATTAGCAGTGGGGATTTGTTTTTTTGGAACGTGCGTCTAGCTTCTCCCCAGGATGGTCGGCTTCCTCAACAAAGCTATCTTTGTTTTCACTCCACACTTGTCTCTCTGTATTGGATTCTTGAGAGATGAGCAGCAGGACCTGAGTTCAGCAGCACAGTGTCTTAGGACTGAGCCCCTAATCTGTGGAAGATGATACTATCCCTAAGTAGATAAGAGTCAGAATTGGGTTGAATTGTAGGATACCCAGCTGGTGTCCCCAGCGTTGCTTGGTAGTGTCAGGGGAACCCCCCCGCCACCTCCACATATTGGAATTGGGACCAGAAGCCAAATAGGATGCCCAATATAGTAGCCACAAAAAAGCAAAAATCAAAACAATATAGTAGCCACAAGCCACAATGGACTTCTGGGCACTAGAAATGTGCTAATGTGACAGGAACTGAATTTTTAATTCAATTAATTTTTAATTAAAATTTATTTAGCTACATGTGGCTAGTGGCTATCCTATTGATCAGTGCAGATCTGGAAAGCGTTTTAGTAACCATTTCATTCAAGAATACATGAACAGGGCTTCCCTGGTGGCACAGTGGTTGAGAGTCTGCCTACCAATGTTCGTGTGCCGGTCCGGGAAGATCCCACATGCCGCGAAGCGGCTGGGCCTGTGAGCCATGGCCGCTGAGCCTGCGCGTCCGGAGCCTGTGCTCCGCAATGGGAGAGGCCACAACAGTGAGAGGCCCGTGAACCGCAAAAAAAAAAAAAAAAAATGATGGTCAAAGATTCTTTTTTTTTTTTACTTTAATATGTGTAGATCTGCCTTATTTCAATGCATTTTTAAAAATTCTTCTCCTAGATACCTCCTCTTCCCCTCCTTTCGTCATAAAACTTTGCAGATTAACATTTCATGCCTTAGTTCCTTTTCCCTCCATTGACTTCAGTCTCATATCCCCCTGCATCTACCAAAATATTCATTTGAAAGTCACCATGTTCGGGATTTCCCTGGTGGTCCAGTGGTAAAGAATGCACTTTGCAATGCAGGGGACACTGGTTCAATCCCTGGTTGGGGAACTAAGAGCCCACACGCCGTAGGCAACTAAGCCTGCGTGCTACAACTACTGAGCCGCGTGAAGCAAACTACAGAGCCCATGCGCTCTGGAGCCCCGTGTGCCACAACTAGAGAGAAGCCCGCATGCTGCAACTAAGAGCCAGCACAGTCAAAATATTAATTAATTATTTAAAAAGACACCATTTTCTTTCTCCTGGCTAAGTTGTTCTTGACTTTATCAAACCCAGGGGTCACTTTTTATAACAGATATTTTATACCTCTCCATGTACCATACTGAGAGAAACTCCTATTTAATTTTGCCTTTATAGGGAATTCCCTGGCGGTCCAGTGGTTAGGACTCCGTGCTTTCACTGGTGGGACCCCAGGGACAATCCCTGGTCGGGGAACTAAGATCCTGTAAGCAAAGAAAACAAAACAAAACGAAAACAAACAAACCCAAAAAAACTGCCTTTCTAGATGCATAATATTAAAACATCAACATAATGTTCTGACTATTGATGGAAAAATAAAAACAAAGTTGCTTATAATAAAAAAGAACGTGTACTTCACTGTGTAAGTGTTCTGGCATGATTCTGCTTGAGGTCAAACACAAGTAGCTAAATTACCTGCTCAGCTGTAGATTGACCTTGACACAACAACAGATGCAGCGTATGTATTGGCAACTCAGATGACCTGAGTGGCATTGCTTGGAGGTGTTATGATTTTTGAAATGATGTCCCCCACTTGGCAACATCTCAACTAAAGCAGTGTTCCCTCATATCTTGATCATCATATCTCTTAGGAGTTTCAGCATAAATTAAAGCATGGAAAAATGCTCAGTGTTTATATGTAAAATAAGGTTCAGTTTCAGTTACTTATCAACAGGATTTCCACCCATGATATCTACCTGCATGAATGTCCAACAGAACATTCAAAGGTTATGTGTTTGTTCCTTCATTTTCTCTTCACCTTCATCTTTATCCCATCACCTTCTCTGCCTCCACAACTTTTTTGGGGGGAAGTGGGGGCCGTGCTGAGCGGCTTGCAGGATCTTAGTTCCCCGATCAGGGATAGAACCCATGCCCCCTGCAGTGCAAGCGCAGAGTCTTAACCACTGGACCACCAGGGAAGTCCCAACACAACTTTTCTCCATTGATTAGTTCCTCTTCCTTTTGACTGTTTTCCTCCCTCCCCTCTTCCCTCAGCCTTAAGTCTCAGCTCCTCAAGCAACAACAAGAAATTCTCTCTACTCCTCCACTTTCTGAGACCTGGCTGCTCCCACCCCATTCTGCTGTCTTGCGTTTCTCCTTCCCAGGGAAGCATTGCCTCTGTTCTTTCTGTACCCCCTCACCTCCCACGATCCACTGCCATCAGACCTCTACCAACACCTCCCCACTGAATCTGTTCCCAAAACGTCACCAGTGTTCCTCCCTTCGACCAAATCTAAGGGAAGTTTTCAACCCTTAGTTTACTGGATTTCTGCTATATTTTATAGGGCTGACTACTGCTTCTTTCTTAAACTGCTCCTGTCCTTATTCATCTGGTCCTCAGACCTTTCTGGCTGATCCATCTTTTTTTTTTTTTAATTGGGGTATAGTTGTTTTACAATGTTGTGTTAGTTTCTACTGTACAACGAAGTGGAGTTCCCTGTACTATACAGCAGGTTCTTATTAGTTATCTATTTTATACATATTAGTGTGTATATGTCAATCCCAATCTCCCAATTCATCCCACCCTCCATCTGGCTGTTCCATCTTGATTATTTCAAGCATGTCTCTTCCTCTCTGTAAGCACTGTGAATCCCTGGGGCTTCATCTTTGCAGTAATCTGATTTCCTCTCTGCAGGCTCTCCCGGAGAGAGTTTATCCATTCCCTTCTTTTCCTAACTACTGCTTTTTGTAGATAGATAGATAGATAGATAGATAGATAGATAGATAGATAGATAGATAGTTACAGATAGATCTCTCTCTCTCTCTCTTTTTACTAGAATGATTTCGAGCAACACAGGATTTGCACCCTCTTAGTATATTGGGGAAACTTTCTATAGCAACAAATATTTCTATCCCTTATCCTTAGTTGTGGATACACATAATTCCCTTGTACTTTGTACAAAAAGAACTTGAGTCAGTTTCTTTTTTTCTTTTTTTTTTTTTTTGCGGTACGCAGGCCTCTCACTGTTGTGGTGGCCTCTCCCGTTGCGGAGCACAGGCTCCGGACGCACAGGCTCAGCGGCCACGGCTCACGGGCCCAGCCGCTCCGCGGCATGTGGGATCCTCCCGGACCGGGGCACGAACCCGTGTCCCCTGCATCGGCAGGCGGACTCTCAACCACTGCGCCACCAGGGAAGCCCTTGAGTCAGTTTCTTAAAGATGGATAAACTGTTTCTGCTTTTTTACCCATGAGAAACAGTGCTGTGATATGTGTGTTAATGTATGTTGCATACTCTCTAACATATAAATTGCTACAAGTGTAACTTGACCGGTAAGAGTAGGCTTTACTGGAAGATTCTCAAGAGATATTGCCAAGTTGCCCTCAAAAACAGATGATAACACATTACAGCCCACCACCTCTGTTTTCACAAGAACAGTTTCAGGAAGCCCTGAAAAGGTCATCCAGCATCTTTACTCTTCCTGTTTATGATGATAAAGTGTGTATGGTGTGAATACTTTCATTTTTTTTACTCCTAGTGAATGCAAACTTTCTTTAATGCTTATCTACCCCTCCCCTCCCTTTTTTGTGGGGAGGGGTGTACTGCACAGCTTCTGGGAACTTATTTCCCCAACCAGGGATTGAACCTGGGCCCATGGCAGTGACAGCGCTGAGTCTTAACCACTTAACAAGCCAAGGAATTCCTTCCCCTCCCTTTTTT